TATTCCTTCCCCTCGTCCTGTGATTCCTAAACTTTAAGAGAAATGCGATAAAAGTGTGTCACTGCACAACTGTCATCTTAGTTCCTTCAGGTTACACACTAATCCACAAAGACTCAAAAAAAAAAGGGGAAATTAATATGAAATTTAAAAACAAACTCTCAAGAAACACTGGGTAACAAGACAGTATCTTTTCTTTTTTAAAATAACCTTAGTGCATTTTCATTCTGATCTTCGGCTAGTCACAATTCCATGAAGGAAAGAGCAGTGAAGAATTGTTCTGCCACATGGAGCACTTAAACCAAACACTATTGCCAAAGAGTAACATTGGTGAATAAAGTCAAGTACCACCACTAAAAATGCTTCAATGAAAATTCATACTTACAGTCATAGCGGTTCTCAACCCTTTCCAATTTACAAGCCACTAAAAATTTTCCAGTCAAATCAAGACCTCTTCTCAGAAAAGCTAGCCTGCTGAAATAGTATGTGTCTACTTTTGGCTTGGCACCAAACAAATTGAGTATAGGCATTTACAGTGGAAGAAAATGTAGCCCTATGGGACACCTGCATGCATAATGTGATACCTAATATTACACCTTTAATGGTCTGATCTTTTCTACTACCTGTCTGAATAGTAGTATCACCTCATTCTTGCATCTGGAGCACATAAACTCATCCCTCTGATAGGTCTGTTTTTTTAGGCCATACAGCAAATTAATACATGTATTTATCATCAGCAGTTGTTTTGTTGACAATTTTGAATGAAAGTTTAACAATTATTTTGTTCTTATGAAAAAACCAAATGGTTAGGTCTGTAATTAATACATTCTTCTACTTGGTAGGATTGCTATAATAAAAGGCAATTTGATTGGTAGGGCAGGAGGCAAATTGTCCCATTGTAAGAGCTTTGTAAGGGAAATGTAAAATCACATTGTAATTTCTTAAAAGCTGTGGAAACTTTCGGTACTGGGTCATGTTACATCTGATCAGGTAATCTTCTTTATCACATCAAGAAACACTGAATTACATCAACAAAAAACCACCAACGTAACTAAATAACCACCTTTTTTAAAAGCACTGATGATACAAAAGCCCAGAGTTGGAACAAGTTCATCAGTAAGAATTATCATTGTTGGCCACAGTTTGCAGTTACTATCCGACCATCACAAATTCTCTTCTATTTTGAATTTGCAGTTATTGCACTTCTCTGAAGCACAATGTGTTAAAATCTGGAGTAAAGGTAGTGGCTTTGGTAGTGGACCTGCCTATCCAGAGGACATACTTGGGGGACAGTTCAATGAAGTTGACACATGGCAGAGGAAAACACTGTCTGGCTCAGATTACGGTTATTATTATTTTGGTTCTATCCTGATTTATGCTCCTTAGCATTGTTCAGCAAGTGGAAAACAGGAAAAACAGATGGGCACACAATCCTCTCTTATCAGGAATGAACCTATGAAGTTCAAGAATGGGGCTTTTGTTGGGGTTTTTTGTGGGTTGGTTTGGTTTTTTTTAACGTTCATCCACATATGCCTCTGGAAATTGTCATGCAAAACTACCTTCATGAGAAATAATCAGAGATTGTTTCTGGCAAAATTAATGAATTGCTAATGAAAACACATCTTGTGATCTGTTTATAAAAAGAACACATGGAGTTTGTCTCCATATAAAAGCTATACTGACAACATCACAAGTTCAAGTTTTTATTCCTATTCATGCTAGTAAGAAGACTTGAGTGGTATTTTTACTTGAAAATAAGACTGTATTTGGAGTTCAGCTTACGTAATTTTATAATTAACTTTTAAAAGTAAAAGAAACTAACAAACCCAAGCCTTCCCCTTTTACTGTTCTGATATAACGGGATAAAAACTTGACACTACTGTTAAAACACCCTGATAACGAGCCCTAGACGGCTTGACTTCGGCTGCACCGCTAAGCTACATCGTTGACACAGCTACACCAGCGCGAGTTCAAAGCCCAAAGCCACAAAAAGGCATTAAGGAAAAACATGAACCAATAATATATATAAACAGCAGTTGTTTGATGTTCAACACTTATACTTCTTTTTTTCCCGTGTAGTAACACCACTCCCCATTTTGGTGATTTCGTAGTCGCTGCTCTACTCTGATCGACCAGTCTCAAAAAAAAAATTAGTTTTTCACTATTTCATACTAACGATCGTGACGGTTAGGAGACAAACGGGCAAATACCTGAAAGCCTAGCCTGTTAAGTGCACTTTTACGGGGTCTTCGCTCCGGACGCTTCGAACCGGCTCAGCCACGGCGGCTGCCCCGCCCGGCGGGACACAGACCCCCGCGTCCCCGCGCGCGCCGGCCCCGCACAACAGCGCCCGCTCGGGGGCAGCGCCTGTCCTGGGCAGACTGT